CTTCAGTTTGAACACAAGTAACAGCTCTAGTATACATATCTTTAATGACTTGAATATAAGTCATATCAACACCTTTCTTCTTAAGAACTCTCCAAAGGATATCTCTTGGAACCTTATCGTAAGCTTTTTCTAAATCAATAAAAATCAAATGTATATTCTCCTTATTATCTCTGAACTTCTCCATCAAATCTCTCAATAAATGCATAGCTTCCATAGTATACCTGTTTGATAACAAACACATAAAAGTGGTCACAAGAACAAAGTATTTTAAGACCAAACAACAGTCTACCTAGAGTCCATTAAGCAGCTTTTAATTTATAATGAAAATGTTTAAAATGATAAACTATTTCTTGCCTATTTTGGATCAGCAGCACTTAAGAGACTTTCCACCCTTGGTTTTCTTTAAAGCTTCCTCACCTTCTTTTTTTACTAATGCGGCGGTAAAAATGAAACTTTTATTATTATTCACAATATTAGAGATCAATAAGGTAGATCGTATTTTCAGAAACTTTATTAAAAAGTTTATCAAAGTAACTCACCCACCTATGTTGAATATCTTTTTCTAAGAAAAGTACTTTTTGATTTTCATCTTTAATACACTTTACTTGAGTTAAATCTTTACTTTTCTTTTCTCTTTGTTTGGCTAGTTTATACATATATTTTTCACCCTCCTTAGTATCTAATCTATTATAAAGATCATTAAAAGCAGAATTTTTAGCATCACAGATTTTAAATATTTACTTTTCTTTTCTCTTTGTTTGGCTAGTTTATACATATATTTTTCATCCTCCTTAGTATTTAATCTATTATAAAGGTCAGTAAAAGCTTAAATTCACAGATTGCTATTTTAGACTCCCTGTAGACCGTTTGATATTTTTTCTAGTTATCTAAGTTTTTACATTTAAACCAATTTTTATAACATAACTTCTTATATTTTATCTTTTCTTGCACATTATTACTCAACCACCAACTGTTTTTATTTATAAAAACTATTTCTTTTAATTCTCCAAGCACATCTTTTGCTATTTGTTTAATAGTGTTTGTTACTTTATCCCACATAACATTTGCTTCTTCATGAACATCCCAAATATTTAAATCTTGAATTTTACTCATAAAAATAATTTTTATTTGTCTTTTAAGTTCCCCCATCTAATTCTACGATGATGAGTTCTAGCATTCTTTATTTTACAACTATTCATCTTAAAATATATAACTAATAAACGATGTTGGGTACTTCAATTCTCACTTGGAATGACCTTAAAATCTTTACAATCTCTACGATCTCTTCTTTTCATAAGAAAATAATCAATTTGTGTTTTATTCGATCCACTTTTATAAGTAATAAGATGCTCATCTCTTTCTTGAATAAAGTATTAGTAATAACAAAACCATAAGCTAAAACAAAATCTAAAATAGCTCTACCTTCTTCAAGTTGCTATAAAATCATAGCCACCATGAGTATTTCTGAAGTCTTCTACCACTCTATCGACATGTTCATTTAAATCTCCTTCAATAAAAATTCTTTCTTGAAGAGGTATCATTTGTATTAAATCTTTTAAGTCATTCAAAAATTTATCTTTAGACCATGTATCTAAACTTACTTAAGAAACATAAACACTTATAATATTAAAAATCTTAGTACACCTTGGAAGTGACGCGTTGTGATAATCTTAAAATATCAATGATAATCTTAAAAGCTATAATTCTATCTCCAACTTTATTAATTTTTACAACATTATCTTTCAAACTCTTATCTATAATTACACCTACACCATTTTTAGAGTGACTTACCAGAATTCCAAAGATTAAAACCTAAATTATCAATCTCCTTAGCCTTTTCTCCAACCCATTTAGTTTTTTGAATACATAAGATATTAATTTTCGATATTAATAAGATATTAATTTTCCTATGAATCATAATATCAACTAGTTCCA